CGACGTACAGAACTGGAGGAGAACGAGGCGGCTCTCCCAAGTCGGTCAGCAGGTAGGTGAGCCAGCGTAACTCCTGTGCAGCCATGGCCCCTGCGTAGATCTCAGCCTCACAACTAGAACTGAGAACAGAAGACGAGCGGGTAGACCGCCAGGAAACAGAGCCGGAGCCAAGACTGAAGGTGTAACCCTGTGACGACCGCTGCGTAGCCAAGTCGTCAACCCAAGAAGCGTCTGCATGACCAGTGAGGACAAATCGAGCCCATCCTCCAAGCATGAGCCCCATGCCCGATGTACTGCACAAGTAGAGCAACAGCCTCTTAGCGGCCTCCTAGTGCTCTGGTCGGTGTCTCCTAGGTGCAACATAGCCTGCTAGGATGCTAAGAGGGTAAGTAAGGTCAGGTCGTGTGCAGGTCATCAGGTACATGAGGCAGCCCACAAGCTCTTGATATGGGCCACTCGGCTCTACGGACTCATCCGAAGGCAGAGTTGAGAGCGAGTGACCATTAGGTAGAGGAGTGGACAGTAGCAAGAAGTATGTGAAGCGGAAGTGCTGAAGGACCTGCTGCACCATGTGTGACTGAGTCAGGGTAATGGTGCGCCGTGCTCTGTCTCGGGTGATCTGCAAGCCAAGATAGTTGCGCAGCGCTCCCAGGTCTGTGCACGCGTGTCTCTTCTGCAGCCCCAAGTTCACGTGGGCGAGTCCGTTAGTGTCAGCAGTGGCAAAGTCCAAGTCGTGGACGTACACTAGGATGTAGAACGGCGGCAGCGAAGTGTCGGTGCGCAAAAATAGCGACGGGTCAGCAGTCGAAGGAGCAAACCCAAGAGCCGCAAGCGTCGTCCTCAATTTGTCGTGCCACTTGCGAGGCGCCCGACGGAGACTGTAGACTGGCCGCCAGAGGCTCCACTGGGTACCTGCAGGAAACGACCCAGTGAAGTCAGGTGGGCGGCGCAGCCAGATCTCTTCGTGCAGGCTGCCCTGCAAGAAAGCTGTGCTGAAGTAAAGAGAGTGAAACTCGTAGTCACGCTGAGCGGCGACGTGCAGCAGCACCCGAAGAGTGGTCATCTTTGAGATAGGTGAGAAGGTTTGGAAGAAGTCAACTTTCTGTCTCTGACTGAAGCCTCGTGCAACGTAACGCTCCTTGAAGACATGCGGAGAACCCGGCGGCCGCTTCACCTTGAAAATAAACATGTCATTGTCGATGTTTGCCCCAGGTGGGGGAACTGCATCAACGTAAGTGCCTGTGGACTTCCAGGATGCCATCTCTGCGTCCATGGTTGACTGCCACTGAGAGGAGTAGGGACCCTAAATCGCCTCTGCGTAAGAGTGCGGGGTCGGGATGTCTGGTGCATCCGGGCCTCCCTCGGGTGCAATCAGCATGGACACGAGATGAGGTACAGCAGCTACAAAACACTCCAAGTCCTCTTGCCTGTCCTCAAGGACGTCCGTGCCAAGAGCACACTCACCCCCAACGAACGGAGGACAGACAGACTCAGACTCAGCAACAAGACTAGCGGCGTAGTCGAGACGTCAGCGAGCAGCAAAGTCAACAAGCTCAGCAACTAGGGCAGACGCAGCAGTGGACTCAAAGGAAGGGTCAGTGGCCAGGAGACGGGTGACAGTAGGGCTGGCAGCACGAGCTAAGTCAGACTCAGGGTTTGGAACGTGCGGAAGAGAGGACGCAGGAGGAGACGGCAGGGGAACACGCTGTGGAACAGAGGAAGGACGAAGTGCCATAGTGTGCGTGCCGGGGACAGGAGGGGGACCCTCACGAGGAACACGACGACCAGTGCGACCAGCGCGAACAGGCGAGGCAGGACGAGACGCAGACTTACGGTGCTCTGTAAGCGAGTCTGTCTGCTCAGTGTAAGGAGAAGGAGCAGGTAGTGGAGCTCCCATTGCTGCCACCACCGCCGTCACCACTCCCACCGCTACTACGAAGTGAAGTCATAGCGAGCAAGCTAGGAGGAGCGCGACCTCTAGGGCGGTACGGAGTGAAGGCAGTAGCACGAGTAGCAGCAGCACCAGCAGCAGTAAGAGCAGCAGAGTGGCTCGCGAGGCTCGGCTGCAGCACCTCTAGTAGCAACAGTAGTAGCACGAGTAGCAGGGCGGATTGGGTTGGGCAGGGCGGCTCGGGCTTGGCGGCGCGGCTCGGCCTGGGCGGCGCGGGCAGTAGGGCGCGGGTTGTGCAGGGGTGCAGGGCGTGACGCGCTGGCTGCAGCAGGGCGCGACGCACGGGGCAGCAAGGCGCGACGCGCGGGGCAGTAGGGCGCGACGCGCAGGCTGCAACAGAGTGCGACGCGCGGGGCAGCAGGGCGCGACGTGCGGACTGCAGTAGAGCGCGACGCGTGGGGCAGTAGGGCGCGACGCGAGGGCTGCAGCAGAGCGCGACGCGTGGGGCAGCTGGACGCGACGCGCGGGCTGCGGCAGAGCGCGACGCGTGGGGCAGCAGGACGCGACGCGCGGGCTGCAGCAGAGCGCGACGCGTGGGGCAGTAGGGCGCGACGCGCGGGGCAGCAGAGCGCGACGCGCGGGGCAGTAGGGCGCGACGCGCGGGCTGCAGCAGAGCACGACGCGCGGGGCAGCAGGGCGCGACGCACGGGCTGCAGCAGAGCGCGACGCGCGGGGCAGTAGGGCGCGACGCGCGGGCTGCAGTAGAGCGCGACGCGCAGGGCAGCAGGGCGCGACGCGCGGGCAGCAGCAGAGCGCGACGCGCGGGGCAGCAGGGCGCGAAGCGCGGGTTGCAGCAGAGCGCGACGCGCGGGGCAGTAGGGCGCGATTCGCGGGCTGCAGCAGGGCGCGATGCGCGGGCTGCCGTAGGCCGCGTCGCGCAGGGCAGGGCGTGCGCGGGGCAGCGCGACGCGGGGCAGGGCAGGGCGTGCGCAGGGTAGCGCGACGCGTGGTAGTGAGGTAACACGGTAACCGCATTCGATTGCTAAGTATGGTGGGCCCGGAAAAAAAAACCATGTCAAGATAGCAAGCAAGAATGACTGCATTGAATGAATTGTGGGTACCCCTAAAATTAGGTTGTACCCCATATGGGCTACCCCACTATAGCCTACATAGAATTAACATAGATATAGTTTGACACCTACAGCGAGGCTTGCAAAGAAAAAGAAATACCGTAACTTTTTATGGATCGTATAAAACACACTGTTTCAAGCAGGCCTGTCGAAGTCCCTGGGACCCATACTTGCGCTCCCTAGCTCCTCCCCATCTGACCCTGTTTTTGATGTAGCTGAGCGTTTGGGCGCCCTTAACAGTCTCGGGCGCACCCCAAAGTGAAAACTTAAAATCCGGGCCTGTGAAGAGTTTGCACTTAACGCTAAGGAAAAATTTGGGTGCTCCAAAGCTGACTTAATCACTTTACAAACACGGGATGGCTAGAAAACGCCAAGGGAAAAATCTACTCCTCTCGTGCAACCTAAGGAGAAAGGGGGGGGGGGGGGGGCACTTAAAGACGCTAAGGGAAAATTCGGGTGCTCCAAGCTGACAGACACTTTACAAACACGGGATGGCTGGAAAATGTTAAGGGAAAAATCCACTCCTCTCGTGCAACCTAAGGAGAAAGGGGGGGGGGGGTGGGGGGGGGGGGGACACTCAGACGTTAAGGGGAAATTCGGGTGCTCCAAGCTGGCTTAGACACTTTACAAACACTAGATTGGCTCGAAAATGCTAAGGGAAAATCCACTCCTCTCGTGCAATCCAAGGAGGAAAGGGGGGGGGGGGGGGGGGGGCACTTAGACGCTAAGGGAAAATTCGGGTGCTACAAGCTGAGTTAGACACTTTACAAACACAGGATTGGCTAGAAAACGCTAAGGAAAAAATTCACTCCTCTCGTGCAACCTAAGGAGAAAGGGGGGGTGGGGTCAGGCAGAATTTGGGGGGGGGGGGGGGTGGGTCCTACAACCAGAAACCAAAACTTCGAGACAAGGGAAGGCCTGGTTTGGGCCCTTAATGCATCCGGGGAAGGGTCGAGCGAGGCACTTAGTGGCATGGGTGCAGTGCGAATCTAACACTTTTGGCAGTCGAGCTGGAGCGAAAGTAGCCCGGAATGTTAAGGGCATTAAGGGCATATGCCCTCGAATCGACAGGCCTGGTTTCAAGGCCTTAGATTCGTTTTTGCCTTGGCTGAACAGTCAGCGTTGTACGGTACCTAAAAAAAAGGCCGAAGATTCAGTGTCCTGGTTAAAAAAAAAGGCTGACTAATCAGCCTCACTTAAAAACTAAGGGCGTGTCGTGTCCAGCGCGTGCGTTTACGGTTCGTTTACAGTTCATGACCCATGGCGCAGAACGATATCAAACGGTTCTAAGCGATGTGCAGTTTCAACCGTTTTAAAGCGTGACGCAACAAGGTCAACCGCACAGGATGAACTGTAAACGTACGCGCTGGACCCGCCCTAAGGCTGAACAAAGCTTGAGTACATTTTCCATAAAGCGCTGTGGGTGAGGTGGGGGTGCTTGACTTGGGGGCACGCGGTGCTTTGCTGTGCGTTGTACTGCTGCACCGAATCGACGCGTTGGGAAAATTCGATTTCCCACTGCATCAGCGCTGTAGATGGCTATTTCGGCGTGACTGACGGGGGATGTACCTAGACAGCCGAAACTCACGGCTCCTACATGAATCAGAAATAGTGCGATTTCTGCCTACACCCTCGTTAGTGCGCTGAGCAATCAGTGTACACTTGGAAAAAATCTCTGAAATATCAGCCCACACATTCTTCCCATGTCTGAAAATCAGCCTTCCGACCCTGAAGCAGCCTTTTTTCGCTGACAGCTGAGGCCTGCACTGTCTTCATTAACCTCATGCCCAAAGCACCTACCAGTACCTAACCATTTTCCTTGAACCTGTGTGTGCAGGCAAGAATTCCTAGTCGCCACCATCTCAACACGATACAAGGTTCCAGCTACGGTTCATGGCTCGCTGAAGCTTGCAAGGTTCATGCATCATGCAATACCCTGATAAGGGAACAGAATGCTGGCATTATGTAGCACGCTGGCATTAAGTTGGCAAGGGCACGGAGTGCATGCGTGCTGCGAGCTCGTAGATGTGCTGAGGCCAGTTGCGGTGCAGCGTTCCTGCCACCAGATTCAGCACCTGCACCAGGAGGAAAGAATGGTAGTACGTAGAGTAGATCATGGATGACAATGCGTTGACATGTCTTGAAACTAGTTGGAGGCGAGGCGAGCTTTCATGAGGAGAAGAAATGGGACAGCGTGAGGGGAGCGAAGGGAGAAGTTGAGGGCTTAGTGGGAGTGGGTGAGCTCTGGGGAAGGGGGGGGAAGGGGTGAGGCAGAGGCAAGGAACAAAGATTCAACAGCCATATGCCCTTGAAAGCAGGCGCAACAGCTAGAAACTGAACCGCCCACTAACCTTCTCCTTTCTTTCTCTCTGCTCCCCACCCCTTCCCCCTTCTCCTTCCTTCCTTCCTTCCTTCCTTCCCTTCCCCTCGCATCCCTTCCCCCAGCGACTCACATTATTCCTCAGCACTCGCACGTTCGGGTCAGCATCGGGGAGCCGATCCAGGCACGACAGCACGTCCTCCAGCAGCTTCGGCAGCCGGTCCTCCACGGCTCGGTGCAGGCTCGGGAGCACGGCAGCGCAGGCAACGGGGGAGCGGCCGGCAAAGGGAAGGAAAGGGAGGCCGGAGAGGTGCTGCAGTGCGGAGGGGAGGCGTGAGGCGGCGTAATCGAGGTAGAAGTGGAAGATGGACTCCAGCTGTCGGAACGCCACCTGCTGCTCCGCGAGCGATGAGCGGTCGGGGAAACTGGGAACGGGGGATGGGAAAGAGGGGAGATGGGGAAGGGGGGAGCGAGGGGGGAGGGGAGAAGGGGGGAAGAATGGCGGGAATGGTATTTGGTGAGGGGTTGGACGAATGAAAAGGTTGGGTGAGGTTGTAAGGGAGGGCGTGAAGTCTTTGGAGGGGAGGCGTGAGGCGGCATAGTCGAGGTAGAAGTGGAAGATGGACTCCAGCTGTCGGAACACCACCTGCTGCTCTGCGAGCGATGAGTGGTCGGGGAAACTGGAGGGGGTGGAGGGCGGGGTGTGGGGAGAAGCAGGGAGGTGGGAGGCAGGGAGGGAGGGGAGGGAGGGGAGAGGGGGGAAAGTGTAAGGTTTGGTGGTTGGGTGGTATGTGGAGGTGGAAGGATAAGGTTGTTGTGTAGGGTTGCAAGGTGAGGTGTGGAGTCTTTGGAGGGGAGGCGTGAGGCGGCATAGTCGAGGTAGAAGTGGAAGATGGACTCCAGCTGTCGGAACACCACCTGCTGCTCTGCGAGCGATGAGCGGTCGAGAAACTGTGAGGGAGGGGGGTGAGGGGGAAAGCAGGAAGGTGAGGAGGAAGGGGAGAGAGAGGGGGGAAAGTGCGGGGGTTGGTGTTTGGGGAACGCCACCTGCTGCTCTGCCAGGGATGAGCGGTCAGGGAAACTGCGAGCAGGAATGGGTGGGAGTGGGGAGGGGGAAGGCAGGAGGGGAGGGGGAAGGCAGGAGGGGAGGGGGAAGGCAGGAGGGGAGGGGGAAGGCAGGAGGGGAGGGGGAAGGCAGGAGGGGAGGGGGAAGGCAGGAGGGGAGGGGGAAAAGGGGTGCAGGAGGGAGCGCGGTCGGTGGTGGTTGGTGGTGGGTGTTGGGGGGTTGGAAGGATGCGATTGTTGGGTAAGGGTGTACGGTAGAGTGTGAGGGATTTGGAGGGGAGGTGTGACTAGGCAAGGCACAGTCAAAGTAAGAAGTGGAAGGCAGATATACAACGTCCTGTAAATCTGTGTCCCTGCTGTCCCAGCCTCCCCTACTGTCTAACCTCCTCCCTGCTGCTTCCCCTGCCCCTGCCCCCTCACCCCAACCCTGCCTCTCATCTCATTCCTGCCCCCTCCCCCCGATCCTGCTCACTCACCTCGCCCCTGCAGGCAGAGCAGCAGCAGCGGTGCCGGCGGCAGCAGCGGTGGCAGCAGGGGGAGCCTCCCCAATGATCTGATTCCCCAGCGCCGCATGCCCTGAAGCTGCCCTCACAGCCGCACTGTCCGTGCTGCCCGCCCCTGCTGCTGCCGCCACTGCTGCCAGTGCCTGGGAGAAACGGTCGTTCACGAGAAGCAGGGCGGCGGCAGGGGCACGCGCCCACCTGTAGAGGTGTATGGCCTGGTGGGATGGGGTTTGTGCGGGGAAAAGGGGGGGGCGAGAGACGAGTTGCAGGAGGGAAGCAATTGTTCATCAGGAGAAGGAGAGAAGCAGGGGCACGCGCCCACCGATAGGGGTGTACGGCCTGGTGGGATGGGGTTCGTATAGCGAGCGAAGGATGTGTGGTGAGAGTAGAGACGAGCGAAGGATTCTTAAAAGAGAAACGTTTTTTCACAAGGAGGAGGGCAGTAGCTGTGGCACGAGTTCAGCGGTAGGTGTATGGACTGGTGGGATGGGGTGGGGTGGGGTGAGGAGGGGTGCGTGGGGAGAGCGGAAGTGAGCTGATGAATGGCATGGAAAGGGAGGGGTTTCATTGTGACACACAGATGAAAAGCAACCAGTGCACAATGAAACCCCTCACTTGGATTCAACCCCCCACACGTCCCCTGCCCTCCCTTTCCCCGACCCACTCCCCCGACCCTCTTCCGCCAATCCTCTCCCCCTAACCTCGCCAGCCCACTCCCCTCACTCACCTCCTCATCCTGCCCCATGTCTTGACAGTCCTTCGCTGCCCCCAGCACCACCTGCCTCTCTGATTCCCTCCTTCCCAACCATCTCCCGCCCACTCCCCTCACTCACCTCCTCGTCCTGCCCCATGTCTTGGCAGTCCTTGGCTGCTCCCAGCACCACCTGCCTCTGTGCCCCCTCCTCTCCCACAAACCGCGTCAGCGACCCTCCCCCTCTTCCCGCCCCTCCCCCTCCTCCCCCGTCCGCTCCCCCCAGCCCTCCCCCACTCCCCAGCAGCTCCTCAATCCCCCTCTTGCTCCTCAACACCTCTCTCACAGTCGCCTCCATAACCGTAGCCCTCCTCCTCCTCTGCTCCCTCGTTGCACCCCCTCCTCCTCGCCCCGAAGCCCCCCCCCCAGCAATCACATCTGCAGCCACTGAGAAATACTCTAGAGCTGTGCGCACGTCACCGGCCCTCAGAAACACAGACACCGCATACTTGCGAATAATCCCTGCTATGTCAGCCTCTGCATCAACAACAGCCCCTGCTCCTCCTCCCCCTCCCGCTCCTCCTCCTGCTCCCGCTCCCCCTGCTCCCCCGTCCGCGCCATCCCCCCTCGCCGCTCCCCCTCCTCCTCCGCCCCCCCCTCCTCGCATCGCCAGCTGTAAGCCTCCAGAGTGCGCCAGGGCAATCCCAAGGTGCACTGCATCTACCACATCTATACTCTCCAGGTGGTATACCACTGCTGCGTGCAGCTGCAGGCTCAGCAGCAGCACGTATGGGTACACCAGTGGGTCTTTTCCGTTCTTGGTGTAATATGATGGGTCAAAGCGGGACAGATAGGCCTGTAGATTCTCTATGGTGCAATACACACCAGAGTTTGCAGCAGCGGCGGCAGAAGCAGCATCGGCGCCCGAAGCACCCCCGAACCCGCCCATCCACCCACCCCCGTCTCGGCCGGAAAACGAGAGGCCAGAAGGGGAGGCTTGGGAGCGAGGGGAGGGCTCGGCCTGGCGCAAGATAGCAAGATGGAACCACATGAAATCTTCTATGGTTGGGAAGAGAGACGGGGCTTCACGGAACAGCCGATCTGCTAAGGCTTTCCGGCCTGAGATGACAACATAGAGGAGGAATTTGCGGCGATCTACCCCTCCTGCTGTCCCCCCTGCTGCTGCTCCTGTGAAGGACGCTCCTGGGCGGGATAGAGAGGAGTGGGATGCGGTGCGCGCCATGCGGTCGCACTCGTCTGCTGCTGCTGCGGAGGTGGCGGGGTCGATCGAGCCGTTGGATGAGAGCCACGTGGCAAGCTGATTGGGCGGGTAAAAGAATGGAGGTTGGGAATGGGGCGGTGAATATAGGTAAGCAAAAAAGGTAAAGGAGGAGGGGAGAGGGTGAGCGATGGCGAGGACGGGCAGGAGGTGAACAGAAAAGGGTGCAAGAGAGAGGCAAAGGGTATGTGTGTGACAAGAGCAGCAGCAGTGTACCAAGAGCAGCCTGAAAGAGGGCGAGCAGCATAAAAGGTAAAAGGCAAAGGGCAAAGGGTATGTGCGTACCAAGGGGGCAAAGGCACGGGCGGATCGGGAGTTCTGTGCGACGTGGAGAGCATCGTTGGTGAAGCCCGAGCGCAGACAGTAGAAGATCTGTTAAAAGGGGGGGAAAGGGGTGGGGGGGGAAGAGGATGGGTGAGGAGGAGAGGGGTTATGCAGTGTGAGTGGTGGAGAGGGGGAGAGGAGAGGAGAGGAGAGTAGAGGAGAGGAGCGTAGAGGAGAGGAGAGGAGCGGAGAGGAGAAGAGAGGAGAGGCGAGGAGAGGAGAGGCGAGGAGAGGCGAGGAGAGGAGAGGCGAGGAGAGGAGAGGAGAGGAGAGGAGAGGAGAGGAGAGGAGAGGAGAGGAGAGGCGAGGAGAGGCGAGGAAATGAGAGGACAGGAACGGAGAGGAGAGGAGAGGAACGGAGAGGATTAGAACCAGCTGCTACCATGCTAGTTGGTGTGAAGATTATAACGAGCTGCTTCCGTGCTTGTCGCATCCCTCCCCATCAGCACCACACCATCCCATCCCTACGCCCCTCCCCACCCACTTATGAGCGCACCTGGTGCCATGTGGTGTCGAGGGGAGGCAATAGGATACCTCCAGCACCACACTATCCACCCACCACGCCATTCACCCAACCCCCCACGCCCCTCCCCGCCCACTTATGCTCGCACCTGGTGCCACGTGGTGTCGAGGGGAGGCAGGCGGGTTGTGGGCGTGGCATCAAAGTCCAGAGGGCCCTGGTCCCGCAGGCGCACCTGATGGGCGCGGGGAGAGAGGGCGGCGGAAGGAGGAAGTGGGGGTAGAAAAGGGGGGATGAAGGAGCGTGGTATGAAGTCTTGCTGTGCGCGTGGCATCAAAGTCCAGAGGGCCCTGGTCCCGCAGGCGCACCTGATGGGCGGTGGAGGAAGAGGGAGTGATGGAGAAGCATGGTATGGGGTTGGGTCGTGGGGATGGGGAAAGGAGGAGGGGAGTGAGAGGTGAGTCACTTCTGTGGCATCAAAGTCCAGTGGGCCCTGGTCCTGCAGGTGTGGCATTAGGCCCTGCAGCCACACCTAATGGCAGGCAGCAAGGAGGGAGTGAGATAAGAGGTGGGGAAACATGGGGTATGGAGAATGGGGCATGAGGCATGGAGCAGAGGGCATGGCACATACGCATGGCACATGGCACATGGAGCATGAGCACTTTTTAGTTTGATTCAAATAGCAGGCAAGGAGGGCAGCGCACTACTCTGAAGGCATTTCTATGAGAGCATTTACCCTGAGAAAGGCCCGCACGCGGTGAAGACTGCCAGTGGAACCACCCAGTGATGCCTGGGTGGGGGAGCAGGGAGCAGCACAACGGGGGAGGGCAGGGACGGGAGCAGGGAGGGGAAGAAGGGGAGGGGAGAAGGGAGGGGAAGCGGGGGAGGGGAGCAGGGAGGGGAAGCGGGGGAGGGGAGCAGGGAGGGGAAGCGGGGGAGGGGAGCAGGGGGGGAAGTTATTAGGCGGGGAAGAGGAGGAGGGACGGAGAAAAGGCAATCGAACGCCAAGGAGAGAGATGAGCGGGAAACGAGGGGACTAAAGCTGTCATTCAAGAGTAAGGCAGTGTGACTATACAGTAACGTAGTGTGATTACATATTTACTGAATAAGTGTGTGTCACTATCGAGTTGTGTGATATTGAGTATTTCAGTGTGACTATAGTAGAGTGACCCCGTGTGTGTGACAATATGGAGTAAACGAGTGTGGTGCCCATACCTCGTTGGGGTGGGACTGGATCACATTGAGCATGTACTGAGCATGCCCCTTCTCCAGATGCCGCCTCGCCCCCACCACCATTCCCATGCGGTCCCCCCGCAGGAAAGGTGCTCCTGACGAGGATGGTGATGGCGATAGAGAGGCCCCTGACTGCTGCTGCTCGTCCTCCCCCAGGAGACTCTGCCAGTGGGGGGCGGGGATGGTTGAGTTTATTTCGTTTGGGAATTTTCAATGGGTGCGTGCCCATGCGGTCCCCCCGCAGGAAAGGTGCTCCTGATGAGGATGGTGATGGCGATAGAGAGGCCCCTGACTGCTGCTGCTCGTCCTCCCCCAGGAGACTCTGCCAGTGGGAGGCGGGGATGATTGAATTTATTCCGTTTAAGAAAATTCAAAGGAGGGATGGAATGGAAGGACCCATGGGTGTGTGCCTGCTAATCTCTCCGCACTGCAAAACTCTGCTCTCTCGCGCCCACTCTTCTCTCCTCACTGCTAAGTCTTCTCTGGTCTCTTCACCCCCAGGTTTCCCCCTCCCCTCCTCCTCTCCCCTCCCTCCCTCACCTGCACCAGCTGCCAGATCTGCCTCGTGCCCACAGACTGCTGCTTATCTGAGTCACACTCCAAAGTGAACCTCTATCTGCACATTACCCTTGCTGCCCTCCCCGCCCCACCCCCCCACCCCCCCTCCCTCCATCGCACCTGCACCAGCTGCCAGATCTGCCTCGTGCCCACAGATTGCTGCTCCTCGCCCCGCACCTCCCCCCCTGTCGCCCTCTCATATGCTGCTGCCATAGCCGTTGCAACCTGGCATGGGGCGTGGGACGTGGGATGTGAGGCGTGGAATGAGAGGCACGGGGTCATTTTAAATCGACTCAGAACTCGCCCCGCACCTCCCCCCCCTGTCGCCCTCTCATATGCCGCTGCCATAGCCGTTGCCATCTGGAGTGGGGAGTGGGACACAGGGCACGGGGCACGGGGGGGCACGGGGGGGCACGGGGGGGCACGGGGCACGGGGCACGGGGGGGCACGGGGGGGCACGGGGGGGCACGGGGCACGGGGGGGCACGGGGGGGCACGGGGCACGGGGCAAGGTGCAACGGGGCACGCAGACGAGCGAGAAGGAGCGGTGTGGAGAAAGAACATGAGTGAACAAGGGTGTGCTTTTGAGTCGACTCAAAAGCGAACAAGGGTGTGCAAAAAGGAACGTGCATCACTAGACATAAATGAACCCCACATTCATCTCACCTTGACCGCCACGCCTTGCTCAGCAGCAGCGTTCAGCTCCCCCACCACCTGCGCATATGCCACCTCCCTCGCCTCCCCCACTGCTTGTGTTGAGGCAAGTTTTGAGGCGTCTCAAAACTCACCTCAATACACATGTGACACGAAACACGAACCCCCATTGCACTCACCTTGACCGCCACGCCTTGCTCAGCAGCAGCGTTCAGCTCCCCCACCACCTGCGCATATGCCACCTCCCTCGCCTCCCCCACTGCTTGTGTTGAGGCAAGTTTTGAGGCGTCTCAAAACTCACCTCAATACACATGTGACACGAAACACGAACCCCCATTGCACTCACCTTGACCGCCACGCCTTGCTCAGCAGCAGCGTTCAGCCCCCCCACCACCTGCGCATATGCCACCTCCCTCGCCTCCCCCACCGCTCTCCCGCCCCCCCCAGGTGACGCAAACCCCGCAGCAGCAGTGGCAGGGGACGCAGCAGCAGCAGCTGAACGAGGGGACATCGCCGAGAGAAACCGCTGCTGGGCCTTCCCAGGCGTACCAGCAATACCACCAGCAGCAGCAGCAACAGTACCAGCACCAGCAGAGCCAGCAGAATTAGTGGAGAAGGAGGAGGGGAAGGAGGAGGGGTTGAGGCGAGTGAGGCCGTGCAGCAGGTCGCGCTTGTCCCTCTGCCAGTCGTCCTGAATGGCTCGAGCCATGAAGGAATCAAAGGACGCGGTGTTCTCCCGCACTGCTGCCTGCACCGCCATCACCAGACTCGTCTCGTGCACCTGGTGGTTGGAGGGGGTGGGGTTACACGTGCGGTTACAGTTTCAGCTTCACTTTCAGTTACGGTTACAAAGGGCGGCTGAGTTACGACCGATGGACAAGTGGATAAAAGGTGGAGAAGGATTGGGAGCGGTGGTGGGAGGCACAATATGGCAATAAGAGGCAGGCAGTACCTGGCTGAGGCAGGCCGTACCTGGGTGAGGCAGGCCGTACCTGGGTGAGGCAGGCCGTACCTGGGTGAGGCAGGCCGTACCTGGGTGAGGCAGGCCGTACCTGGGTGAGGCAGGCCGTACCTGGGTGAGGCAGGCCGTACCTGGGTGAGGCAGGCCGTACCTGGGTGAGGTATTCCTCTACGCTGCCAGCATCCACTGGCAGCACATCCTCAAAGGTCGTCTGCCAGGCACCAGGTGGAAGGGGGGTGGGGGGGGAGGGAGAAGATAGAGTGGGGGGAAGACATGCTATAAAGTGAGGAGGAAGGAGGGGACGGAGAAGTGGTTGGGCTGCACAGAGCACGGGTCCTTAAAAGGAGGAAAAAAAAAACACTTTTTTTTTTGTTTTTTTAAATTTAATTTTTATCGTCGCAGTTCGTCTGAGGCGGCGGGTCAAGAAAACACACACACAGAGACCCACATTGAGGTGCATGGAGGCCCACCTTGAGGTGCATGGAGGCCCACCTTGAGGTGCATGGAGGCCCACCTTGAGGTGCATGGAGGCCCACCTTGAGGTGCATGGAGGCCCACCTTGAGGTGCACGGAGCGCAGGTCCTTGGTCAGCTGCTCCGCGTTGATGCCCTCGCGCGCCAACAGCCTGCGCGCCCATGCGCAAGGGGGAGCGCGGAGAGAAGGGGAAGCGCGGAGAGAGGGACGGGCGCGGAGAGGGGAGGAGGGAAGGGGGAGGGGCAGAGTGGGGGGAGGCGGAGGGAGGGGAGGGGTAAGGGGGGGGAGACGGGGTGCGCCAGAGTGAGGAGACGGGGGAAGGGGGAGGAGGGTAAGGCGGTACTGGAGTGACTGAGGTTGGAGGTGTACAGAGGGTTTGAAATGGTTCGAATCAAGGTACAAATGGTTCGTGAGGCGCCACAGCTCTTAGAGCCCATGTGTATCTTATCTTTATACCATCCATCTCCATCCCACATCTCCACTCCCCGTTCCCCATTCCCCACTACTTCCCTCCTTCCCCGCTCCCTGGACCCCACTCACCAATCCCAGTTACCCTCTCCCCGCTCCTCACTCCCCATTCCCCGCTCCCCTCCCTTTTCCCACTCCCCGTTCCCCCCCTTCCCCCGCGCGCACCTCCCCGCCCCCCTCACCGCGTGGCGGCGTTGGTCTCGGTGACGGCATCCAGGCGCGACGTGCGCGCCCTCAGCTGCTGCGACAACGCCTCCAACTGGTCCAAACTCCTCTGCACCGCACGGCAGTGCATGGGAAGATGAGAACATGAGAACGGGAGGATAGAGGGGAGAAAAGGGAGAAGAAGACAGGAGAGAGACGGAGGAGAAAATGGAAGAGAGGGAGAAGAGGATGAGGGTGTGAGAGTTGTCGTGGCAAATCACAGAGAGTAGCAGTTGCTGGGGAGGGGAGCGCGGGGAGAGGGAACCCCCAGGCGCGATTGGCACGGGGAGAAGGAGGAAGGTTAGGTAGAGGAGGCGGATGAGGGGAGGCGGATGAGTGGAGGCGGATGAGTGGAGGCGGATGAGGGGAAGCGGATGAGGAGAAGCGGATGAGAGGAAGCGGATGAGGGGAAGAGTTAAAGCGGGGAGCAGTGGTGGAAGGCATGCGACGGGCCGAATGATGGGAGCGACAGGCACTCGTGCCGAATTGCGAACAGATCATCAGCTGATCCCTGAGAGGCGTAACGCTGATAAGAAAAGCGGCTGCGTCACGATCCGCATATGAACCTACCCACTCCGCGGTACGGTCAGAATCGCGAGCAAACGTGCCTCAGAAGTTGCATAACCTATCTAGACTAGCCGTTACTGGCGACTGCTTCAGGCCTTCCAAATCTGTTGCAGAGGCACCTGAATGGGCGGGAATTCGGACTCTGTTGCGGAGAATCGCGAGAGCTGCTGCTGGCTCCTCTGCAGCAGATCCTCCCATCCCCTTCCGCTCTCCATGCCGCCGTCGATTCCCGCGGACTACGCTGCGTTCGTCAGTCGAGCGGAGCAGACGATTTATCACGAAAACTAAAGCAGGAGGCAGGCGGTTTCTGAGAATTCTAAGAAGGCTGTGTTCTAAGAAGGCGCGGCAGCAGTAGAATCGACTGGTGGAGATCGGTCGAGAACGGCGACGAGGGCTCTCCACAATACACGATCAGGGGAAGCAAGATTTCCAGAATACGCGGCGAAGGGCTTAGGGGACGAACGCGACGGACCAAGGCGCTGGGGGTATGCAATGCAAGTTGAAAACGGCGACGGCGAAATCGCTGAATAGCGTGTATAGTGTGGCCGGCGCGCTTATACACGGCATACCGCGTCGCACCTAAAGCGATCAACGGCCAAGAGTGCTGCGCAGCCCCACAAAACGCTGCGAGTGAGCACTAGAGGCCAGAGAAGGATCGCGCTTGTAATGGCGGGCTTGGCTTGTATTGGATCTGTGACAGAGCAGCAGCGTTCCTGACTGGCATTTGAATTTGCAAAAGTTAGAACAAACTGTACAGTGCTTCCGTATAAAGTACCATATGGTATGGCAATTTGCAAACCACATCCAAGTATGGTGCCATACAGAAAGAAATGCATACACAGTTCCTATATCCAAACAACAGAGTTTCCTAACTTTATCCATCCCTTACTAACCCCTTCTGGTATCAATCACTCTCACTGCCCGCACCTCTCTTGTGTCGGGATCCCCTCTTCTTGTCTCTGTGACTCCTCCGCTCCTTCCGCTTTCGCTCATCACTCGAACCACTACTCCCTTCACTCTCGCTGCTGCTCTCCTCTTCCCTCCTCCGCTTCCTCCTCCTCTCCCGCTTCTTTTCACTCCCACTGCTATCAGAGCTGCTACTACCATCACCCCCTCTCCTCTTCCTCCTTTCCCTCTTGGCTTCCTTCCGCGCTTTCTTCCTCTCCCTCCTCTCCTTCTTCTCCCTCTTCATCTCTTCAATAATCCTCAATGCATCCTCCACACTCCCTATCCCCAATCCCTTCTCCTTCTCCTTCGCCTTCTCCTCTCGCTTCCGCTCTTTCTCCCGTCTCCTCTCCTCCCTCTCTCCCCTCCTGTCTTTCTTCTCCCCTCCCCTCTCCCCTCCCTCTTGCCCCACTCCATCCTCAACCCTTTCCTCCTCCCTCGCACTCCCCACACGCCCAGAACCATCCCCAATCGCCCCACCAATCGCCATCCCTTTTTGCTGAGCTGTCATCCACGCAGGCTGAGTCATCGCCAGCCCTCTCCCCCTCCCCCTCAAGTCCACATCAGCCACATCCATCCCCCTTCTCCCCCCATCCCCCCCATCCCTCCCTCTTCCCCCAAACTCCCCTCTCCCACCACCCCCAGCTCTCAGCAACCCACCACCACCGCCGCCACCGCCACCGTCACCACCCCTCCCACTGCCTCTCCCAACACCCCCCCCGCCCCCTCCTCCATCCACCCCTATCCTCTCCTCCCCGGCATCATCCGCCAAAAGCTCATAGCTCGCGCCCACAGGCCCATAGCACTCCGTCTTTAAGTGCCCCTGCCCCCCACACCGTGTGCACGTAACATTCAAGACCGCTTCTAGCTCCAATTTCACGGGGGCACGCCATTTGCTGCCGCCGCCCTGCCCGCCTCCTATCCGTTGATTACTCGGGTCGCGATCCGCACCGTCCGTTTGCGAAACCACCTTCATGGAGCACCCGATCCGGATGTTTGCCGAGCCTGGCAGGCCCGGAGTCGTGTCGATGACGTCAGCGCCGGTCTCGTCTTTAAGACTAATTACCTTCACCCAGACCTGCTCGCCCTCTGCTGCCACGCCTTTAAGAGCCTCCACCTTTGCGTCGTCTGTGTCGTCTCGCTTAGCCACCTGCGGGATTCGGGGTTTTTACATGGGACAGCAGATTCGTCGGGGCATGGAGGGTCACGATGTCCGACAGCTGGGCTTCAATGCGTGTGTGTATTGCGAGATTGCACTGTATCTGTACACTGAGCAACAGACACAGCAATACGCGCACCCGAGGAGCAACCCCGCACGCTATGTCATTTTGCCAAAAGTCCCAGCCAGATTTGTCATGGCAGTCCCTCCAAAGCAGTCGCACACGCACCTCGTAGTCGGACACGCACCTCGTAGTCGGACACATGCGACAGGTGCACGAGACCGTGCTTGCGATGGCCCTCCAGCCGCACGAACATGCCGAACGGCCGAATCGAGTGCACCGTCGCGCGGTGAATCGAGTACAGCGCTGGCACCGCATCCGATCCCTCTCTATCCCGACGCTCCTGACGCTGCTGACGCTCCCCGCCGTCGCGCCGTCCCCCCGCTCCCCTAGCCCCCGCGTGACCCCTTCCGCCGTCCCCCTCCGCGCCCCGCCACCTGTCCATTTCTCCCCCCCTGTCCCTCTCCCTCCCCCTCTCCCTGTCCCCGTATCCCTGCTCGCGCTCCCGCCGTTCGTCCCTCCACACTCCGTCTTCCCCCCATCCTCCGCCATTCCCCCGGCCATCACTCCCCCGCTCCGTCCGCCTATCGCCCCCCCGATCCCGCCGCTCATCGCCCCGCGCAGCCCTGTCGTCGCGGCTTTCTCCGCCGTCGCGCTTGTCTGGACCCCATCTGCTTGCGCGCGTGCCCCCGCGCTCGTCCCCGCGCGGCGAGCGCCCCATCGCGGAGCCTAAGCCGCCAAATCCGCCGGCCTCGCGGTCATCCCAGTCCTCTCCGTCCATTTGCGAAGATCTTTCGCTGAGGATTTTGTCTGGCGAAGAAAAAAATAAACCAAATGACAAAAATTGGATCGCTTGTATGGAACTTGGCTCCTTTCCCCCTCAGCTTATACAAATATCTGCACCCAGATTTTTCACCTTTACACCTGTTTGGCACGTCGCTATAGGTGTAAGCGAGCTATATAAATACACTATTGCAAAATTACCGTACGTGGTCTTATGCTCTATCCCATACTGCTCCACCGTTTTTAGACAAAACAAGCCATATAAGTCACTGTACAGGACAAGAAACTTCAATCAAGCAATCCTCATAAGATTTCAAACAAATACATCATTACTCCCAAGCTCCGATCAAGCCCCGTCCCTTCCAAAACCTCCAGGCTGACCCATGGTTGCAGGAACCCCATCCGCCCATGGTCCCCCACCACCACCAGCCCTCTCCTTCGCCTCCTCCGTCGCCCATATTGTATAATCCTCCACAAGGCCATTGAGAAGGCTGGCCTGCATCACAGCTAAAACCCCGTCCATGAGAGCATTCCCTACCGCCTCCACCGCAGGCTTGGGAATCAGAGAGAGTGGCATGGGCAGCCGCACAGCAAAGGCCAGGTTCACTGAACCACCCAGAAGGCAATCTGCAGAGTCAGAGGCGGAACCAGCAGAAGAATCTTCGTAGGAGGATGAGGAGGAGTGAGGGGAAGAGGATGGGGAGGCGGAGTGGGAGGGCGTGAGCTGGCCGTCGAGGAAGAGGCGGAAGGGAATGTTCTGCACGGCGGCGGGTGCGCCTATGAAGTCCAGCTGTAGCTGGTTGGAGAAGAGACGCAGAGACGTGCTGTCATGATACACTCTGGAAGATGGAGGGCGAGATGGTGCGGTGGGGGGTGAAAGCAGAGGGAACAAGAGAGGGAAGGGGCGATGTTAAGACGAGGGTTGGGATGAAGGGGAGGGACGCAAGGGATGGGTTGGAATAGGATGGGATGGGATGGGATGGGATGGGATGGGATGGGATGGGATGGGATGGGATGGGATGGGATGGGATGGGATGGGATGGGATGGGGATGGGATGTTAGGAGATGGGAGGGGAACCAGAAGTAGGATCTCTGTGAATAGTCTGGGCTGCATTGGTGAATGTGAGACGTGGTGCGTTGAAAGAGCAAGTCGAAATAATTGATGGTCATTGACGGAAAACACCCTACTACGGATAACTGAGTAACTAATTCGTATTCAAACCACTGATAAATCCCTCCATCGGACTCCGTAAGCCAATATCGAACCCAGCCGCTCCCTGTTCGAACCACACATCCCCCATTACTATAAACTGCGTTTGCGAAAGCAATCTGGCAACAGAACTGCAGGGCACCGCCAGGCGCGAGAGAGCGCACCTTAGAAGGCAGATTGGCGTCGCAGTTATACTAAAGAACGTTAGCTGCAGCATTGACACCCGCCATAGGTCCGCATCCAGCCGCATCAGCCGCTTCGAGTCCGGAAACACCACGCGCACTATCCGCTCCGTATTCTCCGCCAAGTACTCGTCCACGCTCACTATCGACCGGTCACCGGCAACGCTGCCGGCAGCCCTGACGGCTGGCCGTTCCGCGTTGCCGGCGGATGCTCCAGGAGCCGCGGCCGGCACGCGAACCTGCGGGCAGGGAATTAAGACGGTGCGCTCTGCGGTGAATTGAATCTCCCCCGGCTCCGGCGTTTGCGGGCTCTGCGGGCTTTGAAGCGGTTGCCCGCGGGTCGCGCTAGCGCGCGGCAGCACGCGGAGCCGCGTCTTGATCGCGACTTGACAGCCGTACCGCTTCAGAGAGTCGTTGAACGACGGACGCCATGGCTTGATGGCGGACTCGCCGCACGGCCGCGCGACGAGAGCCGCGGCGGGAGGAGGGGCGAGTGCGCGAGCTGAGCGGCAGGGGAGCGAGGAGAGCGCATGGTCGCAGGGATTGATAACAGTGCGGGTCAGCATGGTGACGTAACACTGCTATGAGGAAGCGAGGAAGATGAGAGTGACTGGCGGAATTTCTGTGCTCGCAAGCAAGAAATGGATAAGACAGAAGTGGCGTGTGGCTGACTGATCTTAGAGCGTGTTACACCTGCTGTGTTTTCAAGGATCACAGGGTGATTATCACCAACACCCCAACCGTAGGATTACGAGTGGTCAAACTATATTTTTGGGGCGTATCACGACCCTTGCTGGTGTACCATCTAACCATTTTGGAGTGGTGATCCTCTGCGACCAGGCGACGTCGTCAGCAGCTGCGCGACGTCGCCTGAATCTGATATTTGCAATGACCATGTTGACTCCGTTACTGACCGAAATGCAACAGTTTCATTGGTTATAATTCAATCAAAAGAATGTTTTGATTAGTCACGACAATGTTACGGTTCTTTGCGACGTTTATATTTTCGTCACCGAGGAGATCCTGTCTTTTGGTACAAAGATGCAAAGATCACCGGGAGATTGGCAGTCACCATGATCTTTCAGAAAACACCAAGATTGCGTAGTACAGATTACCGTGGTTTCCTGGGGGAGAGGGCGAAATGTGTGTACTGCGGAGGGGTGGAGTCGCAGGATCACTGTTTATTCAGCTGCCCGGCGATCCAGCCAGTGGTCAGGGTAATGAAGGGTGCGGTACAGTGCATGAACCCGGGCAGGGAAATGAAGTCCCTCGGAGACATGTTGTTCCAGGAGAGTGGCACGTCGTCAGGTTTTCCGGAAGCAGCCATCATTTCAATTACAGCACAGCAAGTGTGGCTGGAGAGGTGCAATGTGGTGTTCCGTGGCAGCCGGTTTCAGCCTAAGAGAGCACTGAGGCACATAGCGGTTGGCTTTACAAGACACGTGAAGATTTACAGCAGAGTGCGGAAACGGTCGGCTGGCAAGAGTGGTTCGAAGAGGACAGGGGAGTGGAGTCATCTGAATGCTGACGAGGCAAAAGATTTGAACAGATTGTACGAGACCGAAGCCTCGATGATGTGGAGAGCAGGTTTCAAGGCCATATGGGAAGATGGCGGTGTAGCCTTTCAGCCCCCGTAAGGTGGAAGGGGGGGCCTGGTTACCTGTAGCAACTTGCATGCCCTCCTAGAATCAGTTACAACTGCGAGTGTATGTATACATGTAGTGTACTTATGCTCACCAAAAAAAAAAAAAAAAAGATTACCGTGGTTTCGATCCTTCCTCTGTTGGTACAGGAACCTGACACAGTGATTATTGTATACTGAGTAGGTATGATTCTGTTCTGCAAGGATTGCCTTCGCGATCCTGAAAATGCAGCGATCTTTGTTTGGGTGTAACACGCTCTTACTGTCTTGTATCAACCTCTAAATATGCCGTAGGACAGCCCTAGTCACGGAACGGGAGTCGGAAAGGGAAGGGACTGAGGAAGATGGGAAAGTACATCCTAGCTCCTTAGTTTCAGAAATATCTCTAATTTAGTTTTAAGTTTACCCAAAAAAGTCAACCTTTGTGAAATTCAGCTCACGCGAGGCACACATTATGTTCAAAACTGGTCCTGCCGGGAAAACAATTGGACACGTGTCCATTTCGAACCAGAAATATTTTGACGGGGGAAAAAACCATAATACTCCTTGGGAAACTGGACACATTTTCGAGAGGGATCAACCCTAAACACCAAGCGGGTTCCCGTCTTTAGGGTTGATCCTTCCCGAAAAGAAGTCCTGGTTTCCCTAGGAGTTTTATCTTTTCTACCCCGTCAGAAATTCCTGCTGTGAAAACGGACAGGTGTCGAAAGGTTAGCCCTGCAGGACCAGTTTTGAATATAATTTGGGCCTCGCGTGAGAGAAATTCTAGAAAGTGGTTCTTTTTCGAGTGAACCGGTACCTAATATGAGAGAAATCTTAAAGTAAGGAGCTAGGATAAACTTTCCCAGGGAATATGGGTAGGAGTGAGCAACAAGGCGATTGGCTGCATAGTGGCATCGGTGAACACGCCAAAAGGAAGAAGAGGGTTGCACTAGCAAGAATGCGGATACAAATAACAAACCCTAGAAGGGTTGTACTCGCTATAGAGCACCCCACTACAGGCTAGAGCATAATATTCTGACACACCCCCATAGCCAAAGTGGGGTGTAATCAGCAGAGCAAACAAAGCAGTACAAGCTCAGGGTGGATCACAATGTCACCACACATTCTGAGCACAAGTTCAAGAAGCAATAGTTTAAAGTTCACAATTATGAGCAAAGCTAGTGGTAGTCACAACGGGCAAGTGAGGAGGAGGAAAGAGACTATGAGAGGAGAGGAGGTAGTGGGCGGCAGCTGAAGCTGCTGGTACACGGCGCAACTGGAGCAACTGGCACACGGGCAACTGGAGCAACTGGCACACTGTCAACTGGAGCAACTGGCACACGGGCTACTGGAGTAACTGGCTCCGCGGCTAAAAGTAGCGGCAGACAAGCAACGGACTCACGGGCGACTGGAGTAACGGGCTCACGGGCGACTAGCGCAACGGGCTCACGGGCGACCGGCGCAACGGTCTCACGGGCGACTGGAGCTGCTGGCTTCATGGCGGCCACCCCCTTCAACCTCCCCAAACTATCCCACTCCCCCTGACACACTCCCGCTGCTACACCGCTAGCTCCACTCCCCCTTCACCCCCCCTTAGGACCACTCCAACGGCTCCAACAAGTCCACCCCCCTTCAGCGGCAGCTGCAGCACAGGGAGACGGAAGAGGAGGAGGAGCAGGGAACGGCACACAGTGGCTTCACCCCCATACCCCTCACCCCCAAACCCTAATTCAAGAGAACGGGCTGTAGGAGGGGTGGGGCGCCAGTAGAAGCACGGGGGACAGCGGGGAGGGCAGGGGCAGCGAGGAAAGGGCCGCCCACGGGCCTGGCACAGCCGCCCGAACCGCGCGCGGGCCTGGCGCAGCCCGTACGGGCCGCGTCCAGGCCTGGCGCAGCCCTTACGGGCCGCGCGCAGCCTGTACGGGCCGCGCGCAGGCCACGACGGGCGACGGGGGGTGACGCGCGGGTCCCCGTCGCCCGTC